TATTATCTAAGAGAACTATATATTTGTCATATATTTATTGAAAAACATTTTAATAATTATTATTTTAAATAAATAAAATTATACAAAAGAATTAGCTAAGCAATGGCATGTTAATGTATACAATTCATTTATATATTACATAGAATCACCTGCTATTCGTACTGTATCAAATGGATCTTCAATATACTCTGTGATGTATGCTGGGTCTGGTAACAAAATAACAATAAAACGGAAAGCAGCTGCTACGGAAGATACAGAAGTAGGACAACAGGATATGGATGGAAATCAACACAGCTCTGTAGGAGGGGTAAAATGTATTCCATCTTCCCACCTTAAATATGGGACCCCTTCTCAGAAAAAATCTTCAAAGGGCAGCAAAGTAATTTCAATAGATATTCGATTAATCTTATGCCTTACAGGATATTTACATTGCACTATAACTTTTATTTAAATGCTAAATTATATGCATTTTCATTAATTACTTGTAAGGTAAAATCATACTTCTAGATTCATATAACAATTAACAACCTTCAGTAATTTATATTTAATTAATATTTAACACTTTTCATTACTAACATTAGATGTAAATGAATTTTACATATACATTTTAATAGGTCCCATACTAAGATTAATGCAGATGAGAGATTATATACCACTTTCATTACATAATACGATATGTAGTATGTACTTTTTGGATATTACTTACATCTGTATTAGTCTATACTTTTTATTTTTATTTCAACATTTTGAAATAATTAACAGTAATAGAACTGGTTTCATTTTGAGCAGTCATCTGGTTTTAAGAAACCAAGGTCGAGTTCTGCTCGAAGTAAGAGAAAAGGGTGTAGATGCGGCAATGCTACAGCAATACCTGGAAAACTAACTTGTTGTGGTCAACGATGTCCCTGTTATGTCGAAAGCAAGCCTTGCGTGGAGTGTAGATGCAGAGGTTGTAGAAATCCTCACACAGCAGATGGTTTAAAGGTAATATTCAAAATTTCAAATAATTAGTATGAGTGAATTTAAAGATTCCTGAATGTATTTATCATTTCACATTGCAGATTCGGCCACATATACCTGAGTTACACAATTTACAGTTACAACTATCAGCTCCTTTGGACTGCGATACATTAAATTCAGATCCATTAGGATCAGTACCACAATGCCTTTCAACTTCTCCAACAACAATTCAAGTATTAAATGTTTATTCAACTCCGAGATTAGATATCGATAATGTACCACAAAATCTACCTGCCGCCTTGTTAGTAGGAGAAGATGCTATGATTAGTACTGAAAGTGAAGCTGAAGACAGTGATATACAAATTGATGTGTGACAATTCAAATGACATTGTCAAATGTCATGTTTAATATAAGGTGGGTAGTACAACATATATCTGTACAATGTTATACAACAATTATACTAAAACTTAATCTCTATAATTTCAGAATAATCTATCAACTATTGAGATAAAAAGTTATGGTTTTTAATCTATAATTATATTACAAAATAATAAATATATTTTTATCACTCATAAATTATCTATATTATGCCATTTTAAAAAGTTTAGAAAACTAAGTTTGTGTAAGTATAAATAAATTTATTTCCAGTGTAAAAGTAAAATATTTTATTCCATTTTTTATTTGTAACATAATTCGTAATTTTCTACTATATTTTATATTTTAGTACTCTTCTATATTTTGGTCATTAGTTTCAATGTTTTATTCAACTTGTACATATGTCTACTATTCTTTCCTCGTTTTTT